ATGCAATCTATATATTTTTTTAAATTAATCAAACCTCCTTTTAGCCAATTGACAATTTACTTCTTGGTGAGTCAAAGTGGCATTTCAAATCCCTCTAATTATTGTCAGGGTAAGAGATGACAAGGTGGTATAATGGACAGGTGCCTAGCCTTGGAGTCAAGAAGATATGGGGGCAAATCAATGAACTAATCAAACAACAAACATCTATTAAATAACTGCTATTTGGCATGCAGTATGTAAAATGCTCTGGAATACAAAGGAAAAAGTGGAACAGTGGTCATCTGGATAGAAATGGAGCTGAGACATAAAGGGCTTTCTATCCTTAGAGAACCATAAAGAGGTTGATACTCTTCCAGCATCCCCCTCAGCAAGGTACACTGTCCTAATTAGCAGGGTGAGGGGATCCTGATGAACAGGATCAGGTTATTGGCTAGGAGTACCACCTAGTGGTAAAGCATGGTCACTGTGGAGTCTCTGTGTCAAAGGCTCTCTAATTATTTTTGAGTCAGTAGAATAGGCCTGGAGTTAGGAAGACATGAGTTCAAATCCAGTCTCAGACACATTGTGTGGCTCTGGGCAAATAATGTAACCTTTATTTTCTTAAGTTTTCTCATTTATAAAATGTAGATAAGGACCTGAGTTCAAATCCAGCCTCAGGTACATGACACTTAGTAGCTGTGTGACCCTGGGCAAGCCATTTAACCCCATTGCCTCATCAAAAAAACCCAAGCAAATAAATAAATAAAATGAAATGAAATGGGGATAACAGTAGCATCTACCTCCCATGGTTGTTGTAAGGCTCAAATGAGGTATTTGTAAAGTACTTAGTACAGTGCCTATAACATAGTTTATTTATTATTATGTGGAGAATAATGCTTTGGTGTAGATCCACCTAAGGGACTTTTGTTCTTGCGACACCCCTCGTCTTTTCATTTTCTCAGGAAACCAAAGGTTCTTGGGAATATCTAGCCATAAGTCAGATGTTTGTCTGAGACAAAGGATGGAGATTCAGCCAAGCCATAAGGAATTAAAAAACAAACAGATAAGTACTTATGGACTCCATCTAGCTGACACTTCTAGTTCCAACCAAAATGTTTTCCTTGTTGTCCTTTATACATGTTCTATTTCCCATTTCCCTGTCTTTGTGTAGACTGTTACCTTATGCTGAGTATACACTCCTTCCTCATCTGTGCCTCTAAGAGTCTCTAACTTCCTTCATGATTTATCCAGTTAACTCCTTTATCTCCTGTCATGATGTACTCCTCACCTAGGATTGTCAGTTCTCTCCCCCAATTGCTTTGTATTTACTTATCTGTGTGCATGTTATTTTCCTAAAACTGAATATCAGCTCCCTGAGGACAAGGAATCTTTTATTTTTATCTATCTCTAGTGAGTGTCTAGCACAGTGTCTAGTACATAGATCGTGTTTAATAAATACTTGTGGAATGAATGAACGACAAGTTCTGCATTTCATAAGAGCTTGGCTCCCAGAGGTGAAAATTCTCCTTCTACGGAGAAATGTCCCAGATGGGTAGGGCTCTGGGAAGTGACACACCCTCCATATGGGGATAAAAGCAGCTAAGAATTTTTCCATAGTCTGATATCTGTGTGAAGCATTCTACCTTCATCCTTAAAAAAGCTAAAGTTTAAGTCTCTGGACTCTAAAAGAGAAAATGATAAAAATCACTCTTCATCCTGTGAGGAATAGGTGGCACCCTAAAAAAATAAAACAAAAAACTTTCTAGCTGTAGTTAGAAGCTGGAAGTACGTAGCAAAACTATGATCATGTGACTAATGGAATATGTGATCACCCTTTATGATTATGAGATCACCCTTTAGAAATGAATAGCAGAGACCAGCTGACTCATGCCTGGTTGGGACTACATGACTGTCAGTGAAGATAAGCCATGCAAGACCACCAGAGAGCAGGGCAATTAAATAACTCAGATATTGGTGACCCTGCCATGTCAGAGACCTGTGTTGCCCCTGTATGTATATGCCCTCCCTGATTATACATGTTCACTATGTATGTGACCCCTCCATGAAGATTCCCTAGGTGCATCCATTCTTACTACTGAGACTATGTGTATTTGTGGGAGAATGTGACCCTGACTCATAGGCAAAATGTTCTTTCCCAACTCCTTATACAATTTTATCAAATGCCTTAATTGTGTCCTTTGTCTGATTAGTATAAGTAAACGCTTCCATGGGGGCTTATGAGCTCTGGTTTTGAGCAAATGCATTTTGAACTTGAGATAACTTTTCTGGGGGCCCCTACTTGTGAGAAGGGGTACCCTAGATGCATGAACTTCATCATATTTATAACATCTGCTCCTATTTGTCTCTAAAGCTCTCTTTTATTAGCTACACACCCCCTGCTCAATGTCAGCTTGACACCATGGCAGTGATTTGGAATTCGGGAGTTAACTCACTGGAAGGAGCAAGAACTTTTTTGCTACAAGAACACATTTTGCAAGGTAACCCATTCCTCATGTCATGAAGCCCTCCATCTAGTTTAATCTTGGAAGCTCATAGTTTTAATTTGTGAATAAATTTATTGCTTTTGGAAATGAAACATCGCAGGATTTTTTTTCCCCTGAGTATCATCACAAAGTCAGAGTTTCTAATGCATGTGCTGGCCATGGCTCTGGCTATTGGTCCCTCACAACATTTTTTCCTTAGTAGATCCTGCTCACTCAGGGAGTGGCAGTTCTGCTGATTTCTGTCAAAGTATGCACAGATTTTTGTCATGCTGATTAACGAGGACCACAGTGACCCCAAAGAGTGCTTTTTCAGTTTCAGTATGCCCTGAAGAGAACTGAAGCAAAATTCCCTCCCATTTCATTTTAGGAAGGCTGGAAAACAGCTACTTCCTCCTTCCCCTCCCTCTTCCTCCACCCCTCAATAAAAAGCTAGGGTAAACCATCCCGCTTCCTTATTTGTCCAAATGAACCAACATAAGAACTTGTAATACTGCTTCTGATTATGGTTAAGATTTGAAGTTGGGGCTCTAATCCTCATTAATGGTCAAGGTCAACCTGCCAACTTTGGACATCAGCTAGTATTTTATGATTCATCATGTGTTTTCTTTTTAAAAAGCAATTAAGAATAATTTTAAAAGATCAAAAGTTCTGCCAAATTTGCTTCTTTTTCATCCTTTCTCTAGTCTTGATTTGAAATTGCAAGCTGAAAATCTTTTTGGTATTTTGCCTGTCTTTGAGTCAAGCCATGTCTGTTAGGAAATGAAGTTCGCAAGAGGACAGTGATAAAGAATACATGGTCCCAGGGTATTTAACGAGAATGAGGAGAGGGAGGAGAAAACTAAGAAGCTAACGCTAGACCACCTTAGGCAGCACACACCAGATTTTAGGGAGAATATGGTTTAACTGGGGCATGTCCTAAGGAAAGTGCCCACAATGTAATTATTAATTTTTATTAATAATAATAATTACTAATGATAATGAAATAGCATTTCTATAGCTAACCTTAAGGTGTGCAAAGTGCTTTACTCTTCTTATCTTATCCTCACCCAACCTGGTAAGGTATATGTTTTTGTTAGCCCTATTTTTCAAATGAAGGAACTGATGCACAGAGATTAAATGATTTGCCCAGGGTCACATAGCTAGTAAGTGTATGAGACCAAATTTGAACTCAAGTCTTCTTGACTCCAGGCCCAGTGTTCTATCCACTGCACTGCCTGGCTGCCCATAGAATGCAACTAGCACTGTCTAAATGTGGAATGGGCTGCTTCAGGAGCTAGTGAGTTACCTGTCATAGGAGGTATTCAAGCAGAAAGTAGATGACCATGTTTGTATTTGGTAGGTATGTGACAGAGGGAACTTGTGCTTTGGGTAGTGGTTGCATGGGCTGACTTTGCAATCTTTGTTTGCAGTATTTTGTGACTGCCACACTATACTATGGTGCTGCTTTTCATTACGCTGAATTTGAAATGTGATCCCATCAGTCAGAGGCCATTTCAAATGCATTCTTGATATTTAAACCTATTCAAATGATAGAAATATGTCTGGTTCTTTCTCATCACATATTCCTAGAAAGGGAATGTGATGAACCAGATATAGAGCACAGGACTTTGGGGTAGGAAGACCTGGATTCAGATTCTGCCTCTGATGCTTATTGGCTGTGTAAGCATAGGCAAATCACTTGATCTCTCCCTTTTCTCATCTGCAAAATGGAAATAATATCTATGTTACTTCCCTCACTAGGTTATGAGATTCAAATGAAATTATATATGAGCAATTTTATGACAGCTAGGTGGCGCAGTGGATAGAGTGCCAGCCCTGGAGTCAGGAGGACCTGAGTTCAAATACAGCGTCAGACATTACAGCTGTGTGACCCTGGACAAGTCTCATAACCCCACTTGCCTCAGTTCCTCATCTGTGAAATGAGCTGGAGAAGAAAATGGCAAACCACTCTAGTATCTTTGCCAAGAAAACCCCAAATGGGGTCACGAGGAATTGGATGTGACTAAAAAAAAAATGACTGAACAACAATAATAACAATTTTATGAGGGGCAAGAACCACATGAAGCTTTGAGAAGCTGATTTGTCTCAGGACCTTGCTATCGAGCTATGTGCGGCAAGACAAATTGTAAAATTCCTTCCAACTTCACATTGCTCTTGGAGGAAGAGTTCAGAAGAAGACTCACTCTGGAGCTGGAAATTCTGGGTTCAAATTCTGCCTCCAATCACTACCTGAATGATCTGGGGCAAGCCACTTTAGTTTATCTGTAAAATGAGAAGGTTGAAGTAGATAACCTTGGATTTAGAGATCCCCTTCAAGCTCTCAATCTATGTTCCTAAGTGATTGAAATGTCTTCTTGTTTGTGAAATGGACAGACATTTGACTTTGCAGTCTATTTTTGTAGATGTCTGAATTTGTAGAAGTCTGAGCAACCATTTGGCCAAGAATAAAAATGACATTTGGAAATAGTGATTTTTTTTAGGTAAATTTTCATCTTTATTTGAAAAAGGAAGGTAGAGTTCTCGTGTTGATTTTGTAGAAAGTGAAGGCAACTGTCGTCTTACTGTTCCGGCTAATTCATGCACTCATTGAGTCTGACTTAAGCTCTAGTTACTTTGACAGGATTTAAAGTAGTAAGACAAATGTGAATAAAATGAAATTAGGTCTGTAGGATTCTGAATAATAAAACAAAGATTAAGATGGTGATATTGGTCCCTCAAGTGCCGGTATTTAAACTTTAAAAATCTATCAGGAGAGAAGATTAAGTGGTGTTTCTTTGGTCCTAAGAATGTAAAAGCTAAGACTAAAATGTTCCTTTTCCCCCACAGGTTTAAGATGTAAAGAATGATCCTTAAAGACATTAAATGACTATTAAATTCTCTTCAATGTGTAAAGGATCTCCTATAAAGTACACTCAGAAGGAATCCCTGAGTTGATACAATACTCTGCTAGTATCTTCCTCATAAACAAAGGGGGATTTTTTAAAAAACCTTTTCAAAAGACACACACACACACACACACACACACACACACACACACCCTGGCAAGTGGTAGTATTTGTGCTTTTAGTCTATAGCCATAGTATTTCTGAAATCAGCCTCCTAAATGCTTAATGGAAGGAAAAATGAATTCATAAAATTAAAATATATTTTAAATTCCTTAGCTATTGCTAGAGGTAGCATAAAGCAGCCACTCTTTAATGTCCTCTCTGTGACGTTTCAACCACTCAATGTTATTCTTCACTGTTTCCAGAACATTCTCTCGAGAAGCTGCTCCTGCTCCAGCTTCAGGGTATTTATTAAAAAAGGTCTGTATCTAGAAAAGAAAGAGGAAGAATTTAAACAACAACAACTCATCCTGAGGACGCCAATTCAGCAACTCTCGATCCCTTCTGCCATAGAATCTATGTATGGCCCACCATGCATAGACCTCCAAGTCCAGTTTCCAAGTTGAGATTCATCCTTTTGGAGCAATACTTCCCAAGTCTTTGACCCCCGAGCAACTCTATAGTATACATGATGGCACGTTGCACCTCACAGGTGAGCATGCCCATCTCTGGTTTCTATTGGTTGCTGAAATTTGAGTGCATGTGTTCAGGTCCTTTACTTCTATCCTGGGGCAACTTCTCCCTGGTAAATTTTATCTCTAGGATAGAACATAAATCTAGAATTGCGAGAGATGCCAGAAACCATTTAGCCCAACTCTGCATTTACAGAGGGAAAACGAGCTCCATGGAGATTGAATGACTCACTCCCAAATCACAGAAGGAGTGACAGTCATAATTCAAATGCAGATCATAAAAGTGGGGTTTGGATTTCAAAGGATCATAGATGAAAAAAGACTTTCCTGGTCATCTTACATGGTTAAGACTTTCAGGGTCATACCACGCCCCCCCCACACACACACACATTCTACAGATGGGAAAGGTAAGGCCCACTGATATTAAGTGACCTGCCTAAGGTCACAAAGGTAGTAACTATCAGAGGCAGGATTTGAACCTAAAGCCTTTAATTCCAGAGTCAATGTTTTTTCCATTATGTCCCTGTCTAGTGTTCAACTCACTGTTTTGAGGATTTCTTACTTCAGGGGCTAAGAGCGTTTTAAAATGATCCTTCAGGATTCCAAATCCCTAACCCCCTTTTAGGCATGTTCTCATTTGTTCCCCAAACACACAAAGAGTCTATCCCTGGAACCACAGTGACTGTAATCCTCAACACAATAATAAAACATACGGTTCTAATTCCAATAATTATATAAAACTTTCAAAATTTTGTTTCTCAGAATAAACATGTCCCAAAGTTCTTTTTCTCCCTTCCACCAGAGAGAAAGACAGACAGAGACAGAGACAGACACAGAGAGACAAAGAGAGAAAGACAGAGAGAGAGAAACAGAGAGAGAGAGAGAGAAAAGAAGGGAGAGAAGGAGAAAATTTTTACCAATGAGGAGTTACGAGATTTAAACCTTTGGTTTTGAAACACTAAAGGCATGAAGTCTAAATGGAATCCAATCTTAGACAAATCACCCCAGAGCAAAAGGGTCGTATCTCCCAGAGCTCCTTAGCAACCTAAGTAGCCCCATAGAGCTGTTTTAAGGGCTCTGAGACCTTAGATTTTTGCCTTCTGGTATACCAAATACCTTGTGGTATCATTGCCTTATGGTTTTTCCAAATAGAAAAAAAAAAGAATCTATATTTTCTACGGTCTCCCCATCTATTGCCCTCACCATATTTAACTCTACGACATTGCATGGAGGAAATTCAATAGACGATTAGTCCAGGCTATCTTTGAAAGTGACGAATGTTGGACAATATTTTAGATTCATACCTGCCAGAGCTGGAACTCAGTGTTAAATGGCTCTGCTATCGTCACAATTCGGCCAAGGTTTCGGTTATTGAGAGTGAACCTGAAAGGAAATTCGCGAGAGTGAAAGATAGCATTAAGGGCATAGAGTTCTGAATTACTGATTTAGATTCAGAAGGCATTTCCACCATTGGTGGGGGGGGGGGGGGGGTTGTTTTTAAAGTAATTGCCAAATTACTGGGAAGTCATAAAATCATCCTATCTTGGAGACAGAACTCTCTCTAAGCTGTCTCTAAAGCCACTGCTAAGAACTTTACAATTCTCATCTCATTTAATTCTCCCAACAACCCTGGGAGGTAGGTGCTAATTGGAGCCATCTAGGGCTTTAGAGATCAACTAGTATAATCCAATCCAATCCAACAAACCTTTATTGAGTGCCTACTATGTACAAAGCATTGTACCATGTGAAAATAGTCCCTCCCCTCAAAGGGGAGGAAAAGAAGGGCATTTATTAAGTACCTACTAGAAACAGCTTGGTGGTCCAGTGGATAAAGTGCCAGCCTGAAGTCAGGAAGACTCATCTTCCTGAGTGCAGGTCTGGCCTCAGGCACTTACTAGCTGTGTGATCCTGAGCAAGTCGCTTAACCCCGTTTGCCTCAGTTTCTTCATATGTAAAATGAATTGGAGAAGAAAATGACAAACCACTTCAATATCTTTGCCAAGAAAACCCCAAATGGGGTCACAAAGAGTCGAATACAACTAAGAAACAACCATGTACTAGGCACTGTGCTAAGCACTCTACATCTATTACCTCCTTTAATATTCACAACAATTCTATGAGCTAAATGCTATATTAACCTCATTTTGCAATTGAGAAAAAATGGGAGAGACTGAGTTGAAATGATTTACCCGGAGTCACACAGCTAGTAAGTGTTTGAGCTTGGATTTGAACTCAAGTCTTCCTGACTCTATCCCCTCTTAGCTGAGGAAGAAACTTGCATTCTACGGCACCAGTCCCCTTATTGCACAGGTAAGAAAACAGTCCTACAGAGGTGAAGGGACTGGCCTAAGGTTACATACTTAATTGTTGGCGGAGTCAGGATGAAAACCTGGGGCTCCTGACTCGAATCCAGTGCCCTAAATAAAAAGTTAGGGAATTTATAAAAAAGTCATACTCCTTTTGATACCATTTGATAAGTCCTTTCTTAGGAGAAAATTCAAGCCAGTTGTGAATTCTCTTTTATGGATCAGAGAGCTGGAAAAGGGAAAGATGACAGAATTCCCCAAAAGCTCTCCAAGGACATTCTCCCACACGGGAAAGCAGCCCATTCATCATACAGTTACTGAATGCTTAGAGCCTGCCTCAGATTTGCTTCCACTCAATTCGGTTTAATGCACATGTATTAAGCTTCTACCATGTGTCAGGAGCAAAGACAAAAATGAAGTCACGGAGCAGTTATGGGCATGAGACCTTTTTTTATTTTTGAGAGAAGGAATTGTGCTTTATTGTTTTTGTACCCCCAAACGACTTGGCGTGGTATTTTTATATATAACAGGCACCAAATAAATATTTAGATTGACTGGCTTTGGAATTCCTGGTTAGCTCATTTCACTCTTCAGTGAGGCCTGGTACTGTCTTTCTTTTTTTTTATATATAATTAATTAATTAATTTTTAGTTTTCAGCATTCACTTCCATAAGATTTTCTCCCCCTCCTTCTCCTCCCCCCTCCTCAAGAGGGTGGGCAGTCGGATATAGGCTCTACTTATACATTCATATTAAGTATATTTTCACATTAATCATGATGTAAAGAAGAACTAGAACTAATGGGAGGAACCACAAGAAAGAAGAAACAAAATGAAACAACAAAAGAAAAAGAGAGCAAATAGTATGCTTCCATCTGCATTCAGATTCCAAAATTCTTTCTCTGGATGTGGATAGCATTTTCCATTATGAGTCTTTTGGAGTTGTCTTGGATCCTTGCATTGCTGAGAAGAGCTAAGTCTGTCAAAGTCAGTCATCACGCAACGTGGCTGTTACTGTGTACAATGTTCTCCTGGTTCTGCTCACTTCACTCAGTATCAGTTCATATAAGTCTCTCCAGGTTTTCCTGAGGTCTGCCTGCTCATCATTTCTTATAGCACATTCCATTACATTTATATACCACAACCTGTTCAGCCATTCCCCAACTGATGGACATCCCCTCAATCTCCAATTCTTGGCCACCACAAAAAGAGCTACTATAAATATTTTTGTACCTGTGGGTCTTTTCCTGTTTATATGATCTCTTTGAGATATAGCCACAGAAGTGCTATTGCTGAGTCAAAGGTATGCACAATTTTATAGCTCTTTGGGCATAGTTCCAAATTGCTCTCTAGAATGGTTGGATCAGTTCACAACTTCACCAACAATGCTTTAATGTTCCAATTTTCCCACATCTTCTCCAACATTTATCATTTTCCTGTTTTGTCATACCATCCAATCTGATAGGTATGATGTGGTACCTCAGAGTTGTTTTGATTTGCATTTCTCTAATCAATAGTGATTTAGAGCATTTTTTCATTTGGCTATAGACAGCTTTAATTTCTTCACCCGAAAATTGCCTGTTCATATCCTTTGACCATTTATCAATTGGGGAATGACTTATATTCTTATAAATTTGATTCAGTTCTCTATATATTTTAGAGATGAGGCCTTTATCAGAGACACTGGCTGCAAAAATTGTTTCTCAGCTTTCTGCTTCCCTTCTAATCTTGGTTGTGTTGGTTTTGTTTGTGCAAAAACTTTTCAATTTAATGTAACCAAAGTCATCCATTTTGCATTTTATAATGTTCTCTATCTCTTGTTTGGTCATAAATTCTTCCCTTCTCCAGAGATCTGATAGGTAAACTATTCCTTACTCTCCTAGTTTGTTTATAGTATCTGTCTTTATATCTAAATCATGTACCCACTTTGACTTTATCTTGGTATAGGGTGTAAGATGCTGGTGTGTGCCTAATTTCTACCATACTCTTTTGCAGTTTTCCCAGCAGTTTTTGTTAAATAGTGAGTTTTTATCCCAGCATATGACATTTTTACACAAAGAATTACTAGGAGGAAAAGAGAATTAAACTCAGGAAATGCCTTTCCCAAGGTAAACCAGGCCAGTCTCTATGATGACAGGCATAAAGGTGCCCCATATGATTTTTCCTTCTAAAACAAGTATTCTTAAATTACAGTCTATGAACTTTTGTATTACCATATTTCAATATGATCAATTTCCTTTGTTATCCTATGTATTTTATTTTATGCATTTAAAAACACCCTGAGAAGGGGTTCATCAGACAGTAAAGAGTTAGTGGTGCCCTAGCATAGCCTTTGGGAAACAAGGGTCATCTCCATGCCTCAATGAGACAGTAGAGTGGGAGGCAGTAGAGATCACACGCAGACTGGGTGATGGAGCATATGGCTGTCAGCTTCAGATCACAGATCACAGAACACAGGGTGCTAGACTGAGAGTTGGAAAGGTCCTTGGAGGCCACAGAATCCAACCCTCTAATTTTATAGTTGAGAAAACTGAGTCTGAGAGGGTAAGTAGCTTGCCCAAGGTCACAACGTCAGTGACAAAGCCTAGCTAAGAGAGGAATAGCTCAATCAGATTGGCTGCAGGTTGATGAATTTTTAGCCACAGTCGCACTTGAAGACTAAACAATAAGACATTAGCAGGCTACATTTGGTGGCAAGTGGGGAGTAAAGATACCATTTTTGGTAAAACACAGAGCTCAATATATGTTATATATTGCCAAAAGCTTCATAGAACTTAGCAAGCAATGGAGTTGGGTATGGGGAGGAACAGATTTTTTTTTCAATTGTGAATTTCTCATTTTTTCCCCAAATCAAAGGAATATTGGTGAATTTCAAATTTTCTTTCATAGCTGCCTGTGACTTTACATGGAATTTTTCCTTTCTGTGCCTAACCTTAGGGGCAAGATTAAGACAGTATTGGGTGAATTAACATGGCTAAACTGAGACAAATGCCTTCATGCTTACCAATAAGAAGGAAGGAAAATGCCAATCTCTTAAGAACCAAAAAGTGAAGGAGAATTTTTTTTTTAAATGTGTGGTGTTAACATCAAAAAGGGCAAGATGCTGGACTGGATCTTGATGGGCAGAAATAGTAGAGAATAGGCTATAATTTCCTCTTCCTCTTAATTATTTCTAAGACTTATCAGGAGGACACAATGAGACCTTGAAGATTATAAAAGTCATTCTGTCACTGTCTTTTTATCTTTACTTCTGAGGCTGCTAGATGGTACTGTGGATAGAATGCAAGATCCAGGGTCTGGAAGATCTGGCTTCCACTCTAGCTTTATACACTAGCTATGTGACATTGGGAAAGTCATCTATCCTCTATGTTTCCTCATGTGTAAAATGGGAGTGTGGAAGTGAAGTAGTACAGTGGATAGCATGCCAGCTGTGGAGTCAGGAGGACCTGAGTTCAAATCTAGCCTTGGACACTTACTAGCTGTGTGACCTTGGGCAAATCACTTAGCTCTTTTTTATTTCAGTTTCCTCATCTGTAAAATTAGTTGGAGAAGAAAATGGCAGACCACCACAGTCTCTTTGCAAATGGGATCATGAAGAGTTGAACAGGACAACTGAACAACTACAGAAAAATGGGGATAAAAGTAGCACCTACCACCCAGGGGCATAGTAAGGATAAAATGCAATAATATTTGTAAAGCATTTTGCCAATCTTAAAGTACATAAATACTAGATATTGTTACTATTATTATATACAATACACATATCATAGTCATTTTTAAAGTGATGATCATAATTCTTCAAGATCCTTACCATTACAATATTATAAAGGCCATGCAAAGAGCAAAGTTTCTAGGAGCAGAGCATCAAGCCTGTTGCCTCACAAGACAGTATTGAAGTTGCTTCAGTTTATGTCTCTTTGAATGAGTCTCTCATTCACACTCATAAAATAAAATTAAAAGGGAAACATCAAGTTTCATCCCTTTGTACTGTCGTTATTGGTGAGTTCATTGAACCCTGAAGTTTCATCTTTAAGATTAGTGGTATAAACAAAAAGGAAGTAATAATCCTCCAGCAATCTGGGGTTTTGTGGCTGGGTCTCAAGCTGGCAAGGATGTTGCTAACATGATCATCAGATGTCCTTCAAGGCACATCATGAAAGCTGACAATAAATTGTGTCTAGATAGAAGCTGCTAAAAATATCCATTTTGAAGTTTGAGAAAAAGGATAGAGGCCTGGGGAAAAAAAGTTTGGATGGAACCTGGCTCAATTTTTGTTCAAGTCTATTCCAATTCTCATGGAGAAATTAACTTTTATTTAAGCTAGTTATAATTAGGTTGTTCCCTCCCTCCTGGTTTTTTGGTTCCTTTGTTTATTTTTTGTAGTGGGCATATGGTTGTCATATAATTTCACATATTGGATCATTTCAAAAGCACATGAAAATTAGATCATTGGACTGTGAAAAAATGTTAAAGGCCTTTGGCCAGAATGGTCAAGTTAGAGACAATTTTTATGGTCATGGGGAGAAAAGTGATATAACAGAGAATTTTGCCCTGGTGAATTGAAAGGTAGAAAAAGGAGAGGAAGAAAATAGCATATCACTGTAGTAGTAGATGTTCATTATAGTATTGGTATTATTTACTGTCATTTAAGTAGGATGCTAGGAAAGGGGGTTGTTGTTTGTCCTTCATTCTCCGAGAATACCGTGACATTAGAGAGGTGATGCCATGACATGAAAGTGAATTGGATTTAAGTAAGAGATGACTGTGCAAAGTTACCAGCCTCACTCTCTCTTTGGGAGCCATCTGGGTACAGTGGCAAGATATAGATCAGGATGAGTGGAGATGGCCCTGGATGCAGTGGGAGACCTTGGCCTTGGCTAATGTCTTTAAGGAGGTGAGGAAGAGAGGTAGTGATAGAAGTAAACGCCTTTGATATTGCCAATTACAATTGTTCCCCATGGTATAAAACTCATATTTTGAAAAAAAAATTTTTTTTCCTTACAACAGCATTTTGAAATGGGCAATACAACTAGTATTACCTCCAATATACACATGAGAAAAATTGAGGCCCAGAAAAGGTAAGTGACCTGTTCATTCATAGTAACAGTCTGATGATTTTCCCATGATGCCAAGCTGATTTCTCAAGTTGAAGATGGCAGAGGGCTAAGATCCAATGGTCAATTTTGATAAATAAATATATATATGTATAAATATAATATATTTATATATTATAATTTACATATTATCATATGTGATTTACATAATTATATATGTAGTGCTACCCATTACCACTCCTATGCCTTTGTTGAATAAGCCTGAAATTCTAAAAGTCTTAGAAGAAAGCCAAGGGAATGATTCTTCTACACATAGGAGAGATAAAAAAGGGAAGGCTGGAAAAGCATTTCTCCTTTCTTTCTTAATAAGCCTTTCTCCTTCAGTGTTTCCTTCTTTATAAAAAGTGTTGTAAGTAGGATATAGAACTTTTGTCATGTACTGTTCAAACACACGGAGGATAATTAACTAGGTCAAAAGAATATTACTACTATTGCTACTAATATGCTGCTGCTATTACTACTACTATTACTGCTACTACTACCGCTACTGCTGCTGTTATGTTAGGTCAAAAGAGTTGTGACTCCTATTAGTAAAGGAAGAGATTGAGCGCTGTGAGGAAATGGAGGTCCAGAGAGGTTAGTCATAGGATGGCAGAATCATGGACAGAGTTGGAAAAGACCCTAGTTCCTATCTAGTCCAACCCATCACTTCATAGACGAGGCCCAGAGAAATCAGAGATCACAGATGTAGAATTGTAAAGCACTTTAGCTGCTGTCCATTTTTACACCTTATTTCAGAGATAAGGAAACTGAAGCCCATTTACATAAGTAGTAAATTACAGACCTGAGATTTGAATAGCCTGATGCAGTGAATAGAGCACTAGAACTGGGGTTTGGAATATCTGGGTTCAAAGTCTGCCTCAGATACTTACTAGGTTTGTGATCCTTGGCAAAGGAAGAGAAGGAGAGGGTATCAAGCATTTATTAAGGGCCTACTGTGTGCCAGGCACTGTGCTAAAGATTTTACAAATAGTGTCTTATTTAATTGCTTCAAAGAATAGCAAATGTTTAATTTCTCTGGGTCTCAGTTTCTTAATCTGTAAAATGAAGGCATTGGACTCAGTGACCCCTAAGGTCCCTTCTAACTTTAAACCTAGGGTAACTAAGTGTTTCAGTGGATGGACCACTGAGCCTGGGGTCAAATCCTGAATCAAGATCTGAGTTCATTATGGCCTCTGACACTTACTAGCTGTGTAACCTGGGCAAGTCACTTAACTCTGTTTGCCTCAGTTTCCTCATCTGTAAAATGAGCTGGAGAAGGAAAGGGCAAACCACTCCAGTATCTTTGCCAAGAAAAACCCATATGGAGTCATGAAGAGTTGGACTGAAAAGGCTGAACAACACCCCCCCAAAATTTATGACCTTATCACCCCAAAATTATGTTGTTTCCATTATATTTTGAAGTTAATTCTAGGAATTCTAATATCCCAATGATTAAGGACATATATATTATTACATATTATAAATAATTATGCATATGTTTATATGCACTCGTATTTAATCACAACCAGCATCACATCCCTTCAGACTCCAATTTGCCACTGATCTGTTAGAACTAATTCTTTCAAAAGGAGGTGACATGAAGTCAACTTGGGTCTTGTTCCTTTAATGGCAAATAGCATTTTCCTCCATCTCTGAACACATACTCCTTGAGCAAATGGCACTTACTGAAACTAGAGATAGTTACTTGAGGAATAAAATGTCTCTAGGCAGTCATAAGCAAAGAAAACAAAAAACCAATCAACGTACCTGTTGATTAAATATTCCCAGTTCAATCGTATCCAGTCCCAGGCCATGTACTTGCCATAGCTATTATATGAAATATATCGGATAACAGTAAACACATCCTGGGACTTGATGATGTTGGTGTCCTTGAGAAGGTCCAGATACCTAAGAGAAACCAAATGGAAAGATAGTTCAAAAGGAACTTTTAATGTTCACCCTTAGCTAAATTCCACCCAATAACATACCAGCAATCCAATTCTTGTGGTACCAACTGGCATAATTAATTGGATGGGACAACTGATGAAAAAACATCATCTTTCATCTCTTACACTACTGTCAAAGGCCAACTAATGATTCTAAAAGCTCAAAAAAAGCCAAGCTGTCAAAACCTGAGAGAGCTCATTTTTGAGGTCACTCAGAAACATGAAATAAATAATAAACTAGACTTTGTTTATAAAATATGAACCTTGGAACTCAATGCACGTTGTGAAGGAGTTTTTGTTTGTTTGAAAATGGCTTTTAACAAATTTGCTCATGTTGTCCTGCCCTCGTCTATTGGACAGGATTCTATAAAAATAGCTAAGAAGCCAACATTTTCTGGAGAAGAAATGAAAGGAATATTCATATTATCTCATGCAGTTAGATGCATTTGACTCATTTCTGGACTGCGTTTAATAATATGCTAATGCAACATTGTTTAGCTCTGTTGTCTGAGAACTGAGTATCTCCATGCACCAATTGCATTTACTCTCTTCCATGGTCACAGACTATAACCCCAATGATCCTAGTTAACCATCTCAGGAATTCATGTTGGTCACAAGGCAGGGTGGGTGCGAGGAAGAACTGGCAAGAGAATGTGGACGGAATGGGACATTTTCCCCCACTACTACTGGGAAAGCCAATAAATAATGCATGTCCTGTTGATACTGGTTGTATTGTATTATTGGGTTTCTATGTGAACTATAGCTCATCTATCATATGTTTCAGGTAAAAAAATAAAGATACTATACATCTTAAGAAAGAAATACTCTTTTTAGGGAATTAAGAAAAAGCCAGAAATAACCTTGATAAAAGAGTAACATCGTTCACAGATGCTAATCCATAAAGCAATTTTTCTTTTTCTTGAGCTAGAGTGGTATTCTGGTACAGTGAGAGCATGTAGTTCCATGAGGCTTCATCTCCTGAGTTCTGCATTCCATATCGGTACACCAGAAGCCGAAGATTCACAGGTTGACTAGAAGAGACACAGAATTTCATTTGTAGAGTAGTTTTTTGTTTGTTTGTTTGTTTTCATCATAAGACTTCATTACACGCTCTTGGTTCTCCTCCTAATGTCTCTGTTCTTGCTCAATCTCCTTCATTGGCTTCTCCTATTCTTTTATCACAGCAGTTTACAAAGTCTCTGCTCTCTCTGTCTCTGTCTTTCTCTTCACCTTTTCCTTTGATCGTCTCATTCAAGTTCATGGCTATCATCTCAATAAAAATGACTCCCCAATCTACTTCTCTAACCTTGACCTCTTTCTTGAATGCCAGACTAGCATTTCAAATTATCTATTGGAAATTTCCACTTGGATGGTTCGTTGACACATACCTCATATTCAACATTTGTAAAATGAAGGAATTAATTTTATTCCATGAGTAGTGCTGTTTTTTTTACCTTTTTTTATTGAAATCTTTTTAGAGGCAACTAGGTGGCATAGTGGATAGAGAGCTGGGCCTGGATTCAAGAAGACCTGAGTTCAAATCTGGCTTCATATATTTACTAGGATGTGATTCTGAACAAGTTCTTTAATTTCTGGTTGCTTCAGTTTTCTCGACTGTAAAATGGAGATAATAATAGCACTTACCTCCCAGAGAGAGCATCAAATGAGATATTTATAAAGCATTTAGGACAAACCCTGGTGCATAGTAAATACCATATAAATGCCAGGTATCATCATTATTATTGATATTATTCAGTGGCATCATACCATTCTAGTTGCTCATGCTTATAATCTTAGCAACATCTTTGGCTCCTTCCTCTCTTTTAGCCCATGTCTGTTAGTCAATTGATGCAGCGCGTGGAATGCTGGGCTTCAGTGATCACTAGATTCAGTGATCCTACCTCAGACACTTACTAGTTGTGTGACCCTGGGCCAGTCACTTAATCCCAGCTTCAGTTTCTCCATTTATACCATAGTAGCCTCATAACAATTCTTCCCACTTCTAGTTTCTTCTCTTTTCACTCCACTTCCACCATTGAAGACTGATCTTTGTCACACCATTCCATTCTTCCCAAATCTTCAATGACTCCCCACTACTCACTAAATAAATACTAGGCTCCTTAGTCTGACACTTTAGGCTCTCCAGATTCACGTCAAGTCTTTTTTGTGTACTTTGTTTTTGCCAAATTGGACTACTCACTACTCTCTACTCTCGCCATCTCCTTCTTTAAGGCCCAGCTCAAATAGCACCACCTCCATGAAGATCTCTGATTTCCACAGGTGAAAATGATTTCTCCCTTATTTCTACTTTTTTATGCAATTGTGTTCCAATTTATAGATTATAAAGTCCTTGAAGACAATAATTGTTTCACTTTTTTCTCTGTATACTCACTGCCTATCATAGTGCATAGTTATAACAGGGGCTTAATAAATTCTTGTTGCTTGAAAAATTAATTGATTTGCATTACATTTATCTGTACACATGTCTCATCTCCCCCATCAGATAATCATAATAATAGCTAACATTTATGTAGCTCCTACTATGTGCCAGGAACTATAATAAGCACTTTACAATTATTGTCTTATTTGCTCCTTACGATGACTCTGGGAGGTAGGTGCTATTATTATCTCCATTTCATAGGTAGGGAAACTAAGGAAAACAGAGCTTTCATGACATCCCAGGGTCACATACCTAGTAAGTGTCTGAGGGCAGATTTGAATTCAAGTCTTCCTGACTCCCAGCCCAGTACTCTAACCACAGTGCAAAAATGCCAGCTGCTTTTAAGGTCAGTAACTCCGTCTTTTTATCTCCTCCAATGCACAATGCATTCACTGAATGCAGTAGGTGATTTATTCATGTAAAATGAAGCAACAGATAAGGCAAATTAAACATTGTAAATAGTCACCTAGCTCCATTTTGCCACTTCTTAAATAATTCAGAAGCATTGTTGAGTGCATCTGTATCTCCCATCTTGCATGCTAACCCTAGAACCGAGGAACGAAGTAACCTTTGAAAAAGAGAGGAAAATCAAATGTCATTGTTTAACTGTTGTAACTAGTTTTTTTTTTAAAATTAAATCAGCAAATGTTCATGTCACTAAAAGATAGATAAGTAATAACTTTTCAAGATGTCCTCCTTCATCTTCCCATCTCAGAGAATCTGCCAAAGGCTTCACCTGACTTCGGAGGTATTCCTATAATAAAAGAACCATTAAAAATTAGTATCTTTCACTGTTTGGTCAAGTCTCACTTATTTCATGAATAGCCTACAGAAATCCGAGGAGCTAGTGAATACCACTGAACTAAGGCTCTTTTCTGTTAACCTCTGAGACTCCAAACTTTTGTTATCTTGATCATCTTGACCCAGCCTTGCTTTGCCACTAACCTCTTGTTATATAGTGGGCACCTCAATGTTCTTCTCTGTACTTTAAGTTATCCGGCCCATCGTAGTTAGGAGTAGTTTCAATTTCCTCTTTTTTAAATTGGGGATAAGAATAGCACCTAGCTTGGCCCATAGAAAGGTGGCATAGCCATAGATGCAATGTACTCTATACACATTATAATTATGAGAGAACTGCTACATTCATAACAGAATTCTTCTTGGCATAGGACAATAATTGAAGACATTTCTCTTAAAACATCTTTCACTATTAGAGTGAAATTGGCAATCGTAAGAATAACCAAGGACAGTGATTGTTATATTTTGATACTAATAGAACCTTTTGAAATTGTGTTTTAATATCAATGAGCCCATTCAATGGATACATTGTGGTTTTCTTTCTTTTTTTTTAAAGTACACACTTTAAGGTTTTCAAACTGCTTTACATTTGTTATCTTATCTGATCCTCAAAACTACCATGTGAGGTAGATGCTATTATTATTCCCATTTTTAAAAAGAGGAAATTGAGACTAGGAACATCACAATACTTCTAACTATGTGATTCTTATTATGAGACTTTAGGCTGCTGGAATTTGTCTTGGCAAACTATATAGCTGTTGCTTTTTTGTCCTTAATGAAACCTCCTTCTGACATGGTAACTGCTGATCTGCAAGTTTTTTTCTATAGACCACAGCTGGAAGAGAAACGGTTTGTTTACAAGGGATGTTCTTATTACACCTTCATCTCCATTTCATTTTGGCGATGGAGATGTAGGCTTCTAGTCTGTCACTCACAGCTTATTCTACCAACAATTCTATTTAGTTCCCCAATTATATTATCAGCATTACCTTAAGCAGAGGATACACCTCTGTATCATCTTCAAGCATGCTGGTTATATAAGATAGTGCTGATATAACTCTGTGCCATGGTAAGTAGTCGTTTTCATTTTTCAGATACAAGGTCAGGTTCAGAGAAACACTGTATTTCAGAAGACTGGCCCTAAGAAAGGAAATGGCAATACAATTAATTCAAATTTCAGTTCTCATGGCTGAAAGCACTAATGGAAAGCAACATACCATTCAATACCGATTAGACTTCTTTTTCATCAATAATTCTTTCATGAAATTGTTTAGAAAAAATGTGCTTATTGAGAGCATTTTGAAGCCTCCTGCCTAGTGGGTTGGGAACCTGTCAAGTGCTTTTATGTTAAAAATGATCTATTAGCCTCATCATGTAGCCAGCAATGAGGAACAAGACATTAAAAGCAGCGTATGCATTTTAAAAGACACTGGAGCCAAGTTTAAAGACAAATGAACAGAAACTACCATGTTGTATGTTTAGCACCAAAGAACATAAAAATTAAAATATGTTCAGTATTGCTGTTATAGTGACAATGAATCTGCCATAAAAATAGCTCATTGAAATAGCTTTGACTTGTATTTTTTAAAGGGGAAACGTTAATGACTGCTAGTTCATTGTCCTGTAGGTGTTCAATAAATATTGAATGGAAAACTGCTTACACTGTTCAGCCAACCTATCTTTTTTAAGTTTTCTCCTGTAGAAATTTGTCTTATCTGTACATTTCCCAATGGTCTTCTTGGATTTAAAACAAAAATTTCCTCTGGATATTTTGTAGGCATTTCCAGAATATGAAACCTTGGGAAATAGTAATGATTGCCTCCAGTAAATAATCGTAAAATTTTTTGGATGTCACTTCCTTGTCCCCCCTCCTCCACTCCAAACAGGAATAATCTAAATTTTAGACAAGTTTCCAAAGAATCCTAGGTGAAAATGAAATAGACTTTCAAAATTTTTAAAAATGTAAGCATGAAAGTAAAATGTTTGAACTTGAAGTTATATCATTTGAAATTTATTGAGTCAACATAGTGACTCTAAACCACTTGAGATTTAAAATGTTTTGTGTATGAAACATTTACCCTAAGGATGTTACTAAGAAGAAAGTCCTTATATACATCACAATATTTACAGCAACACTTTTTTGTGATAGCAAAGAGGTGGAAACAAAGCAAATGTCCATCAATTAGGGAATGGCTAAACAAATGGAGAAACATAAATGGAAAGGAATATTACAGTGCTGTAAGATACTATGAATATGATGAATACAGAAAACATGGAAACACATCAACTAATATAAACTGAAGCAGCAGAGCTACAAAAAAAATAGACACAATGACTACAGCAAAGGAAATGGAGAAAAGCAAGAACCATGAAACGATTGAAAAGGAAGGTTGAAAATGACAAAAAACAAGCATGGCCACAAAGAAGAGATGTGAGAATATACCTGTTCTCTCTTCGTTGCAGAGGTAGGAAGTCTATGGGTGTGGAATATTCTACATATTTTCAGATTTTTTATGTATTGATAAGTTTTGCTGATTTTGTGTGTGTGTGCTTCCTCTTTAAAAAAAAAACTTGATTACATAGACGGGGAACACAGAGAGATATAGGGGAAAATTAATTTGAATACAAAAAACATCAATAAAACTTATTGTAAGAAAGAAAATTATTTGTAGGTTATTATAAAACTGAGGACCCATTTTACAGGTAATGCCAATGAAATCAATATACTACTTGAAATGGACATCCAAAACTTAACTCTCTAATTCCATGACTTTAGATAGCCAATCCATCCAAAAGGAACATTATTGAAGTTGGCTCTGCTGATTGATCAAATGTATAGAATGGATACCAAATCTGCACTTTAGATTGTAAAGTCAATAACAGATATCCAGCCACAGGATCCAATCTTTGGTGAACAAGGCCTGCCACACAAGAAGTTTGAATTTAATTCAATTCCATATGAAAGGTAAAGGATATTGAAGCCAAATATTGCTTGGCAGGGATGCTCTGTCTTTCTGTAAGACAAAAATGTACTCATTGAGAGAGCCGGTATTTTAACAGGTAATTCCCTGAATTGGATTTTTTTTTCATTATATTTGGAACTTACAAGATTTTAATGAAGAGAAATTCTCACTAAATTCAATGTAAACTGGGACCAGCTCCATCCTGTAGGTACTACCCCCTGGTCTTTGTCTGTAGACTGACTGCTCAGTCAGCAAGTGACCCAGGTGATTTTTGGATACCAATTCAAATGCAGCAGCTGGTATTTTTGTCATGGTTGCTCCTTATCATGGTCAAACAGAACCAACTTGTAGGAAGGAGACTGATTTAAGAGGATCAGTAAAGTAAATAATAAAGGAAAGAAGAACTAATTGGGAAAATTCAGGGGTTAGGTAATTGAGGGCAATTTGATCTTGATTTGTTTTTGGTTAAACTAATGACATCAAAGGTATCTTGTTTTCTAAACATGTCATATAGCTCTTTCAAGATAAAACAGCATTTTAATAATAATAACTAACATTATAATGATAGCTTTAAGATTTGGAAAGTGTCCCAAACACATTAGCTCACACAGTCATAGGTGTAGAGCTAAAAGGGATTTAAAAGGTCACTGAGTGAAAGCTTTTTACTTTACAGGTGAGGAAACAGAGGTCCCACAAACAGTGTGTCCCTAGTGCCAAGCTGGCATATGCTTAACGTATACTTGTTGATTGATGATTGATTGACAGAAATCATACTGGCAATAAACATCAGAGGCAGAATTTGAACACAGCTCCTCTGATTCTAAACCCAATCCTGTTTCCACTACACCATGATCCTAGAGGAATTAATGCCCTCATTTTACAGGTGAAGAAACTGAGGGTCTGAAAATGAGGGGACTTGCCAATATTTATATGGCTAGCAAGTGTCAAAGGTAGGATTTGATCCCACTCCAAAGCCCTTTCCACAACAAAGGGATTGTAGCAGTACCAGATCTCAAACTATACTTCAAAGTGGTAATCCTCAAAACAATTTGGTATTGGTCAAAAAATTATATGTAGACCATGTAGACGTACAATTTCTTTCATAGAGTTGTCTACTTTCCCAATAGTTTTTGTTCAATTGTTATTCCTTACCCCAGTATCTGGGATCTTTGCGCTTGTTGAACTCTAGGCTACTAGGTTTGGTTACTTCTGAATGTTGTATACCAATACTATTCCCTTGAGGAGCTCTCTATTTTTTGGAATTAATTGTCTTTGAATATTTTGTGGAATTCATATCGTTAATTAAGTTTTTTTTAAAGTTCATTTATGTGGTCAAAGGATATGAGTAGGCAGTTTTCAGAGGAAGAAATCAAAGCTATAGTCATGCGGTCAAAGAATCCTATAAATCACTATTGATTAGAGAAATGCAAATTGAAACAATTCTGAGGTACCTTCTTACACAAACAAAACCAAAGCAACCAAGATTAGAAGGAAAACAGAAAGATGGGAAATAATTTTTACAGCCAGTGTTTTTGATAAAGGCCTCATTTCTAAAATACATAGAGAACTGAGTCAAATTTATAATAATATAAGTAGTTCTCCAATTGATAAGTTGTCAAAGGATATGAACAGGCAGTTTTCAGATGAAGAAATTAAAGCTATCTATAGCCATATGAAAAAATGCTCTAAATCACTATTGGTTAGAGAAATGAAAATTAAAACACTTCTGAGGTACTGCCTCATGCCTATCAGATTGGCTAATATGACAGAAAAGGACAATGATAAATGTTGGAGAAGATGTGGGAAAATTGGAACACTAACATATGGTTGGTGGAATTGTAAACTGATTCAACCATTCTGGAGAGCAATTTGGAACTATGTCCAAAGGTAATCAAACTGGGCATACTATTTCATCCAAACATACCACTATTAGGTGTGTATCTTCAAAGAGATCACAAAAAAGGGAAAAGGACCCATATGTACAAAAATATTTATAGTAGCTCTTTTTGTGGTGGCAAAGAATTGGAAATTGAGGGGATGCCCATCAATTGGGGAATGACTGAACAAGTTGTGGTATATAAATGTAATGGGATATTATTGTGTTATAAATGATGAGCAGGCAGATTTCAGAAAAAACCTGGAAACACTTATATGAACTGATGCAAAGTGAAGTGAACAGAACCAGGAGAACATTGTACACAGTAACAGCAACATTGTGCAGTGATCAACTATGATTAACTTAGCTCTTTTCAGCAATACAATGATCCAAGACAATTCCAAGACTAGTGAAGGAAAATATTATCCACATCCTGAGAAAGAACAGAATTGTCTGAATACAGACTGAAGCGTGCTATTTTCACTTTCTTTATTTTTTTTTTAAATTTTTGTTGTTTCTTCTTATACAACATGACTAATATGGAAATATGTTTTATGTGTTTGCACAAATATAACCTATATCAAATTGCTGACCATCTTGGAGAGAAGGGAGAGGAGAGAGGGAAGGAGAATATTTGGAACTCAAAACTTTACTTGAAAAATTAATGTTAAAATTTTCTTTACATGTAATTGTAAAAAAATGAAACACTATTTAAAAGAAAAAAGAAAGTTCATGTATAGCTTGTTCAATTTTTTCCTCTGAAACTAGATTAAGTTCTCTATTTTGTGTTAATGTTAATTTCAGTATTTTATATTTTTATTAACATTCTTTTTTTGAAAAAAAATTGTTATCAGTTTTATTGGTATATAACTGGTAAAATAGTTTTCAACAATACCTTTATTTCTTTTTCATTTACTGTGAATTTTCCTGCAAAATTTTTTATACTGGTAATTTAGTTTTCTTTTTAATCAAATTAGTTAATAGTTTATCTTGTCGTCTGAAGTCAGTTTTCTTTTTCATATTTGTATCCTCAGCACTTAGTACAGTATCTGGCAAATAGTAGGGGCTTAAAAATGTTTATTGACTAACTGGCTAGTTTTATTTATTCACCATGATGAATTTCTGGAAGGACAAACCCAAAAACTGCATAGAATGAGAGGTCATGGAAAAGTTGCAAGCTGTGGCAGAGAGAGGGAGGGGCACACACATTGATGGATCACAGGTGTGTGTAAGAATCCAAATGAAAATGATGACTGATTGTGATAACAATGAAGGCAATAATTTCTCTGTGCCCCTTTACT